ACTTCCACGTCGTCAACAGCCTAACCTGCCACGGGAAGAGATAGCAGCTCTCCGGGAGCTACGAGGAGACACAAACATCGTGATTCTACCCGCGGACAAAGGAAACTCGACTGTGGTCCTTGACCGGGATGCCTACGAGAATAAGATTCAGGACCTTCTTGACAGCTCTGCCTATGAAAAGCTCAGGAAAGACCCGACATCACAAGTTCAGACAAAACTGAACAATATCCTTTCTGAAATTTTTAAGAAGTACCCTGAGGCGCGGAGCCTTCATCTGCGGCTTCTTTGCAGGAATGGGTTTGCGCCCGGTTTCTACGGTCTTCCTAAGGTTCATAAGCCTAACGTCCCTCTCCGGCCGATCGTGGATTTCACAACCTCACCACTTCGGGGATTGTCGAACTACCTCCACAGCACTCTCTCTCCTCTCGTTGGAAACACAGCGACCTATGTGCGGAACACCGGGCACTTTGTGGAACAGGTTGCGCAACTAAAGGTAAACGATGACGAAAGCCTGGTGTCGTTCGACGTCGTCTCGCTCTTCACCAGCGTGCCGGTTCCCCTGGCAGTCACCACAACCAGAGCTGCCCTCGAGGGAGACAAGAAGCTGAGCGAACGGACCAGCCTTACGGTGGACGAACTGTGCCGCCTGCTAGAGTTCTGCCTGGGGAGCACCTACTTCAGCTTTAAAGGAGAATTCTTCAAGCAGACCAGCGGAACCGCAATGGGCGCATCCATCTCCGTCACCACGGCCAACCTGACAATGGAAGCCATTGAACATCGCGCGCTGGAGTCTTTCACTGCACGCCCTAAAGTGTTTTTACGGTATGTCGACGATTGCTTCTGCATTATGAAGAAATCAGAAGTGAACAACTTTTTGGCACACTTCAACTCCATCGAGCCGGCCATCCAGTTCACCGTTGAAACTGAAAAGAACGACGCCCTGCCGTTTCTTGACGTGCTGGTCAAAAGACAAAAAGATCAATTGGAATTCACGGTGTACAGGAAACCGACACACACTGGGCGCTATCTCCGATTTGACTCAAATCACCCTGCGAGCCACAAGGCGTCGGTCGTCCAGACACTCCTGTCCCGAGCGAAGTCTATTTGCTCGTCGGAGGACTACAGAAAAAAGGAAGAAGGAACCATCATCTCCGACCTGCTAAATAACGGCTACACACGCAGTTTTATTCAGCGAATCGCTCGTCGTCAACGTAAATCTGATCGACGCCTAAGACCAATCGGCGAAACACAAGAAATCGCACATCCCCGCTCAACCACGCGCATCTGCGTCCCTTACATGAAGGAAACCAGCGAAGCGCTCGCGCGTGTGCTGGCAAAAGAAGGCATCCAGATGTCCCACAAACCAGTGTCAACGCTTGGACACCTGATGCCCCGGCCAAAAGATCGTCCCCTAAAGGAAAGAGCGCAAGGCGTTATTTACCAGATTCCTTGTGCGGATTGCCCTGCCACATACATCGGCGAAACCAAAAACTTTAAAGAAAGACTTCGCCAGCACAAAACCGACGTGCGAAAATTCGATCATGAGCGCAGCGCGGTTGCGGAACACAGTGACTCGAATGACCACCGCATTGACTTCGACGACACACGTATCCTCGACATTGAGACCAATTCCCGGCAAAGGCTCTTCGTCGAGTCATGGCACATTCAAACCACACCGCAAAACATCAATCGGTCGCTTGGCGCTTTACCGTCGGCTTACGTCAGCGGGCTCAGCCACATTACGATCGCGAAAACATCACGTCCACCGCCATAAAAGAAGACCACTTGCTCCTCGCGCACACAGTCGCCCCTGAAGAAGAAACCAAGCAGGTTTCGAAACGTTGGGCTCATTTTTATTTTTGGTTGGCGTTCCTTCCTCCTCTTCTAATTGTTCTTACCCAACCAGGCAGATTTCTGCCAAATGTTTACTTTCAAGTAAAGCGTGTGCAATATCTTTGGATACACGGTTTAGTGACGGAAATTGCGTGAGTCGTGCTTGGCAGTGTGGAATCGTGGTGCCGCTTTGTTCAAATGCCCGAAGGCTCACTTTGGTTGTGCGGTGCACCGGAGAGCTGCCTTGCCGCTTGTAGTTCCTGTGCCGTGCTAAATGATACTGTACTGCTTCCCAAATTGTTCCGGCGTAGACATGCACTTTCACGGAGCACAGGTGTGCGGCGCGCCGAAGCTGGTAATTCCGGTACCGTGCTTTATGCGATGCTGGTCTGCCTACTAAAGTGTTCTGGCATAGACGTGCACCTTCAGGGAGCACAAGTGTTGTAGTTGGTATTGATTCCGCTGGTCTGTCGCACGCTTCGTCGACACCAAAGCTTCATCAACACTCGTTACGCGAATTGCAAGCTGTATTGACATTTCATCACGCGTGTTACCTACCCAGTCCACCTATTCACGCCGCTTTGCGATGACAATCTGCAGCGGCTCATTACCACAAAAGCGGTCTCGCATCGATTTCAGTTGAGCTCGTCCACGGCAGTCGCCAGACCCCGAAGGAGAGGATTTATTCGGACAATGCCACTAAAGCAGTGCAGCTTCTTCAGTGGTCAGGATAGACTCTTTTCTGTCTGTTTTGTTATATTGTCACGGTTGCTTCCTCCAGTCCTATTTTCTGTCAATATTTACTATTCTGGAAAGTTCCAGGCCATGCTCAGCTGTCATTGTATGTCCTGGTGGAGGTGCTGCGCACTTTACCCATAGCCCTTCACTCTGTGTGTACCCTGGCGGCTCCTCAGCCGAGTTGCCCAATAACAAGACACGGGTGGCACATTATCCCGAGTCTTAAACCCCCGGCGTGCCGTGAACCAAGTCCTATCCCGAGCCCGGCAGAAAAACCGCAAGACGAGCGAGTGCGACAAGGACGAACCTCGAAAATACACCACGAAGAACTTGAAATCCAAGCCAGTCGCCGCTACCAGCAAGAACCACCGCAATTAGGTCTTTTGCCAGAAAACAACGAAGCTGACGAAGCCAACAATGACAAACCTGTAGCAGCAAACCACGTCCGCTCCCACCACCGTCTGCATGCCCGTCGCACCTCGCACTCTGATGCCCTTTCACGCAAGATGCATAAGACGTCGAGGGCTGGATTGAACAATATGTCCATGTCGCCCGCTACAGTGGGTAGATAGACAACTAGCTCCTGCAGAACCTATACTTCTCGTGGAAAAAACTGCGAGGCACTGGTTTGAGAACCGCGAATCCTCCTTAACGTCCTGGGAAGTTTGCAAGATAGAGCTGAAGTGCATGTTCATCAGCCAACATTGGCGAGAGAGAGCCGAATTTCTGATTCTGTCCAGGACATGGCCCTAACGAGAGCGTCACCACCTTCGTGGAGGATGTTTTGCTTCTGATCGAGCACACGCCAACCCTGCAGATGCTACAGAAGACAAGAAGCTAAGAATCCCATGTTCCTCATATGAGGGACAACACCTTCAGCAGCCTTGTCCGCAACCGCACGACAACAGTCGAAGGCATCATTAAGAACCAGCGCAAGTAGACAGTTATTCAAAATCCAAACACACAAAAAAATACTCACACAGCGCTGAACTATCAACTGAATTGTATTTCAAACTTCCTCTTCTTCGACCCCAAGGAATAGGTTGCCAAGGAAGAAAAGGGGAAAGACAAGGCAAAGGGGGGAAGGCAAAAGAAAAAGAAAAGGAAAACAGATGAATAGAAGGCAAAGAAAAGGAAAATAAAGGAGAATAATACTAGTACATCAGAGTCCAAGAGTTACAAAAATTACAAAAATAGTTACAAAATTAATCACGAACAGGTATAAGCCGGTGATATGCTGGCCTACTGTCGACTACACACTCGGCGTAAATAGTTTGAGTGATGCAAAAAGTCCAAGAGTTACAGAAATTAGTTGTTAAATATTATATAAATTATTTATATTATATATATATATATATATATATATATATATATATAAATAAATTATAGAAGCGGAGAACATTGCAAGACGAGAAGCCCAGTGCGTTAGCACTCCGTCCTTAGCTTTATCGGAGAAAGAACTACATTATTTAGACAGAAGGTGTTTAAGACAGTAAGCCAGTATAACCTTTGATTTTTATTTACATCTGATATTATTTAAAAACTAATTTCTGTAACTCTTGGACTTTTCGCATCACTCAAACTATTTACGCCGAGAGTGTAGTCGACAGTAGGCCAGCATATCACCTGGTTTATACCTGTTCGTGATTAATTTTGTAATTATTTTTGTAATTTTTGTAACTCAGGACTCTAGTGTATTAGTAATATTCTCCTTTATTTTCCTTTTCTTTGTCTTCAATTCATCTGTTTTACTTTTCTTTTTCTTTTGCCTTCCCCCATTTGCCTTGTCTTTCCCCTTTTCTTCCTTGGCAACCTATTCCTTGGGGTCGAAGAAGAGGAAGTTTGAAATACAATTCAGTTGATGGTTCAGCGCTGTGTGAGTGTATTTTTTTGTGTGTTTGGATTTTGAATAAATGTCTACTTGCGCTGGTTCGTAATGATGCCTTACCAACTCGCCCAATCTGCAGTATTAACAGTCGAAGGGTTCATATCAATGAAGCTTCCAACATTGAATGTACACTGCAGGCCCGAGCATGTCACTATCAACAACTCCCCGGCGTCGCGACACTCGAGTCGTCCAGCTGCAACTTCGACGCCAGCCCCTCAGGCATCCGTGACATCATTCGCAACGGTGTCAAGGAGGAGATAAGGAAGCTAGTTCCTGCCATCAGTTGCCCGGCTTTTATTTTGATCGCCGAGATTGTTTCAGAAGAAGTTCAGCAGGCATTTCAACTGGAGACTTCTTCGAGCGAAGCGGCATCTGACGAAAGGAGGGCGACTTATGCCACAAAGCCACAACGACCAACACCGGCTACCTGTTACTATTCAATGTCAATTCAACGAGACACCCAAAAGCCGAAGCATTCCCGACATCAGGAAGAACCAGTGTAGGTCCGCGCTGAACAAAGTTCCTGCTCTATGTGAACGACATGCCACGCAGTGAGAAGTGTCTTCTGGTGCAGTACGCGGACGATACGTCAATTGTGGCGTCAGTGTCATCACAATCTGACGCAGATCACCTCCAACTGTATCTTGCTGAGGTTGAGGACTGGACCACAGCGCAACACCTTCGTCTCAGTACCTCCAAGAGTGGTGTGATGCGTTTCACGAACAGTAAAAAACGCGACAAACCCTCTTACACTGCCGGAGGTGCTCCTCTTACTATTTCGGACCACCTGACTATATTGGGTGTCACCTTCTCGCGGAACTTGGACTTTTCCGCACACATTGCAACTGTTGTTGCAACTGCCCGGAGGACTTTGGGTTTTGTTTCTCGAGTGACAAGGCCGAGTGGACCGGCGGCACTGCGCACACTTTATACTGCCCTGGTCCTACCCTCGTTAGAATACTGCTGCGCAGTGTGGTCGCCTCCTCAACAACACCTCCTCGACCGCCTAGAAAGTGTACAGCGTCGTGCATCACGCATCATCTGTGCTCGGATCTCAGGCCATGCTGATATATCGTACCCCGCGAGGTTGAAGGTCCTTGGCTGGCGTCCTCTCGACCAGAGGCGAAGAATTTCGCGGGTCCGAGTGCTGTGCCATCTGCTCGACGGGTCACTTCCTGGCAACAGACTGTCCGCCCTCGTACGTGTCAGCAAAAGGACCGGGCAGCCTCAACCACTCCGTGGCAGGACTCTGCGACACAGTGAATCATTGTTGCCTGCGGCTATCAGGGACTTTTTGTCCATGCCATTGGCTGCCCGTAGTCCTTTGCCCAGGGAGCCTGAGGAGTCCCAGGCTCTCTGTAGAGTCTTCGCAGGACAAATGTCTTCGAGTCAGGGTTAGGCGCCGCTCGCGCACTTGCGGTGGAGTGGGACGAAGGAGGGGTGGGGCTGGGCCTTTTGGGCCTCTTGCGACGTCTTGGGACCGGACGCACTGCTGCGGAGCTGGTCTTAGGGCGTCGCGGGGGGCTTGGGGGCCGGTCTTGCCTCTCTCCGTCCTACTCGGTTGCGGGTGTGAACTGTGCTCTAATCTAAACTGGCGCAAACTTTCAGCTTTCTCACCCTGTATTTAGCTTCATTGTCATTATTTTATTTCCTTGTCGCATCTTATCTTAGTTTTGTGGACGTCAATTTGTGACTCTTATGTACACGGCGGCAGGCAAGCAGGCGCACAGGCGTAAGGGTTTTAACCTCTCTGCTTCGCCTTGCACGCTGCCGTGTACGTGCCTGATCTGTGCAAAATAAATCAAAATCAAATCAAAGTACACCGAGGAAAACGGAGATACTGCGAATGGCCGACCGAAAACCACTCTGCTACCACTGCATGTGGCCGACCATGTCTACTGGAGGTGCCCGTACCAATGAATTGGCCTACAAGGGTTCGTGCCTAACGACCCTCGACCACGTCTCCACGAGCGTCTGGGGAAGATTGAGGATTATCTTTGGCGGTCTTTGTCCCTGGTGCCGACATTACCCCGAAGCTCGTGATCTACTTCATCTGGACGGAAGGTACGCACGACAAAGCAGGTGAGTGGCAATGCAAGGAGAGTTGATCTGGTGTCGGTTGTCGTCCAAGGACAATACCTAATAATTTGCTGAGACTAAATATCTGTGTCCACGCCTCAAAGCACACAATTTTGAACTTTGAGGGTGAATGCCGCTCAGTGACCTAAACAAATAGAATGGTTGGTTGCTCTCAAAAGTGGATCGCAAGCATCACGAGACTTCACTTTGCCACACAAGACTTGCCCAAGTTGCAGTGCTCATGGGATGGAGAACTAATCTACATTACGAAATGGAAGTGAAATGGCTTGGATAGCAAACAAACATGTTGCCAGCTATCAAGTCAACGGTACAGCAAAAGGCACAGCCACATAAGCAATACATGCCCGAGCTTGCTGCATTGATGCAGAAAACTACCAGGAACATTTTGCGGATTAGAAGCCAGCCCTGCAGCAGCTTCAGTGCATCAGATGTCAGTGGGCGCACATGACGTATGATTACAAGACGGCATCAGTCAGTCAAAGTTGCTACTCGACCAAACTGAACACCGACCTGCCAGGAGCGTTATCCGACAACAAGATCCACAGGTATTACGACTGAGCGCCTGACAGGAGACTGTCGCAGAAAGAACTCGTTCTGAAACCATTAACTAAAAATCAATAATTATGTAATCCAGTGGAAATAAACATATTTGATACACTAACCAGATAAACCTATTTCCGCTTACCTTTACGCCTTGAGAGTTTATACACCAAGAATTGTGTTCACCACACGCGTAGGTGCTTTTGAGGACACTCGCATCTCTGACCCTTCAATATTATTTAATGGGGCATACCAGACTGGCAGACTTGTTGGATTGGGCTGCACTCATTCCACTTCTCCTGAAGGCACCTCTGAGCATAAACTTTATTCGAATGTGTTGATGCATCGTTATATAGCAGGACACTTCCTATACGTATGACACAATAGACCCTTTGCAGAACCCCATTAAGCAACACAACTCTCACCATTTTTGTACGGCGTAAAGCACAGAAATGGGCCCCAGTTCACGGCTAATGCTAATGCAGCATTCGAGTCCAATAGGCGCTGAGCCGAGTTCACAGTGATGGCGGACATAACATTCTTGTCGAACAAATGTCCAAAGTATGAAAGCCTGGGGTATTTAGAGTAGTAGCTACTGTAATTCATTTCATCACAATTCTGCAAACAGCAAAGGCAACAGTCTCAGTGAGCCAATATGCACGTTGTAGAGAGGCACATGACAACATGCCATTCAGAGTGCTCGTCTGCACAGGTTTGTGACACACCTTCGCTCTGTCTTTCTGATTGGCTCGAGGGGGCTGTGGCGGTTGCCCTTTTCCAGGTTACAATGATACGAAGTATAGGAAACCCACACTTTTCAAAAAAGGCTACTGAAGAGACCGAAAGGAATGGTAAACTATTTTCAACAAGACTGCTCTTCAGGCAAGGGATGAACCAAATATGAATCATCTTATCCAGGTAATTAGAACAAGTAAATAATTGACCGACTAATACAATGCCCTCTTGATGAAAAAAGTATTGCTGCAATAAATACTACGAAAGAGAAAAAGGTGCAGTTAATCTATGCCTACACCAAAACAGTTGTTCTTATTGCAAGTCGAATAGCTTTGAAGCAGGTGCCTGCAACGATTTAGTCATCCCCACACTCAATAAAACGTCATCCTCGTAGCTCAAAATAAGTGTGCACTTCGCACTCACCAAAAAGAAAGAAAAGTGATTGAATGTAGAATTTTCGATTAGCACAAAGCGTTAAAGATCGCAGGAGCTTCCTCGGTAAAAGTTGTTATGGTTATTCGGTGACGCAGGCCTGAAACAACTTCTCCTAGTCTCTAACGCGACGTATACCTTTCGCGTCGATTCTCAGACATTCCAACGTTTAAACAAAGCTAAGAGAATGCGAAAATTTCATGCTAAAAGCACTCAAAGTTCTATCGATCCTCGGAGAGGTCCCGAATCTGAGCACCGGTACGGCGATACGGCTGATGCTGTCTCACAGGTGTTAATATCCAGATGATCCAGAACTATCTTGCGCAAAAAGGATTAAAAGTGTAATTCCTTTATATTTTCACATTATATCTGCGTCAGCGAGCATGAAAAAACCCGAAATCGTCGGAAAGCCGCCGCACATCACGGCTGCCGCGCACCGAACAAACTCGCATCCGCCAGCTCTGGGCGCTGCCATCTTACCTGCGACGTCACGGCTCTTGTGAGGTCACGTGACGAGTGGTCACATTTGCGTAAAACATGGCGGCAACCGGGGGGGGGGGGGGGGGGTGTCACTTCCGAACTTCCGGTTTCTCATTCTAAGCCCCTCTACATCGTTGGCCCCACCCCTGCTTGTTCCTATCTGGATGAACACAGTACCGGCTTGGACTTGGGTTTGGGCTAGTTGGTTGTACATTAAGGTGTATCCACACGACGGACCGGGCCGCGGACCGATTGATCACGTGATGCACGGCCCGCGGGCCGCCCGGCTGCAATGAGCATCCACACGGCGGACCAGAAGAGCAGACGACAGACCGAACGGGCCGGTCTAACCCTCGACCTCACAGCTCCGCCAAACGCATGCAGCGAGCTGCTTTGAGGCTATTTGTAAGGAGCCAAGATGGAGGTTGAACGAAAGAGACGGTTGGCCGAGGTGGCCCTGGCGTTGAATATTGAGGACGAGGACGACTTAAGTGAACCGGAAAAGGCATGGGGACATCTTTAGATGATTATTTGGGTAGTTGTCGCGACTATTGTCCCACAGAGCGGGGAATTGCTCCATGAGCGCGATGAAGTAAAAAGTTGCATCGTCGCACAACAAAAGGTTCGTCTTCTTCGTCTTCCACAGTTGGCGCCAAAAGAAAACGACTTTGGATTTGGATTTCAATCCAAACAACGAAAGTCAGCTTGTTGCCAGACTTAGCGCTTCAATTACACTAAAAACGCCGCGGTCCGCCGCCAAGGTCCGGGCGAGAAAAGTCGCTTCGCATTTCTCAAAAGCGCGGGCCGCGGACCGCCGGCGGACCTCAAAAACCGGTGACGTAAGATCACATGATGCGCGGCCCGCGGACCAAAAGAGCAATTTGGTCCGTCGTGTGGATACACCTTTAATAGACGTGCTGCGCTGCGAAGTTATACAGAACAAACGCGTGACCAGAAATTGAAAGGAAAAGGATGAGTTTACATTGAGATGAGTAGAAACACAACGAACACGAATGGGCGCAGACAAAGAGCTGTTTATTTTTTTCTTTTTTTCATGCGTTTCCCAATGCGTGAGTTTGGAAAGGAGCGAAAGCTATGAAAGAATATTAAATGTCTTCATGAAGATGTGTGGACTTTCGATTTTTGTGGTGTTTTCCCCTTTTCTGACAAACGTTCGGTTTTTGTGGTGTGAGAGGAAACCTTAGAGCTGGCGCTGGTGTCCGCCTCGTTATGCTATGTAGTGTCTCAGCAGTTCAATTTCCTTTTCGTTCAGTGCAATGGAAGGATCACTGACACACGTGCCATGCTTCCCTGGTGCCATGTGGAAGGCTTCTATGATTTCTCGCTTGTTTCTGTTTTCCTATCTGTCCATAACTGATGTATTTCCAAATAGCGGTTCGCAGCTGCATCTTGCGCAATGCGCTGCTAAGTTGCCAGGTGCTTGCAATTGCCCGCATGCATATTTATGTTCTCTGAGTCTGTCATTTAAGGCCACGGTCCCACTGAATGTGGCAGTTTAGGTACTTTTTGGCAGGCCATTACTCATCTCCTTTTAAATACTGTTTTGTGGGATTGACGTCATTCGAAAGGCAATGCAATCCTCTTTCATTTGATATTATGTATGTGTTGGTTTTTACTGTTCATGCGCGTTTGTAGCGTTGCGAATATGATGGCGCGGACCCTCACTTGCTCCGCGAGTTCATGTTTTATGAACGATCCATTAAAGATAACACGGTTCCAATATAGCAGTTTTGTTAAGATGATGTCGGAGCAGAATGTAACGATACACTTTTTTGGTATTTGCACTACTTTGTTTTTTTGATCCCTCCAAATATTACCCTAAAATTGACATTTTTCAGCACAAATATGTTTTGAATGACAAGCGCTAGGGCAATGAAATTAGCTACAGATGCAGTACTTATAATTGGTAATATGCAGGAAAAAACTTAATGTTGTGTAAAATTTTTTTTGTTTAGATATTTTATAGCAAACGTAGCACTTTTTTGTGCTTCGAGTCATGGTAGTTCAAATGCCGCTGAAGAAATAATTAAACTATGATAAAATATTTTATAACATTTAGAGCTACAATGGTTGCCCAAGAGGTGGACGATGGCTTTTTTTCA